TTGTTGAAAAATATCAAGATGTTTGGCAATCATCCATCGGACGAGTGGTTACAACATATAAATTAAACATAAACTAATTGATAAGCTTAAGAGTGCCAAAAACAGGGACAGGCAAAGGGTGGGGATTAAGGGCTCGCTAATCATCCAGATTGTAGACCAGTTTGCGGATAAAACTAACTGAACCCGATTAATAACAAATAATGAGGGTAGTGATATGAAATATAAATTGATATAAATTGAAAATATGATTTATAATGTAGGTTGATATTTATCAAATTCAATTAATTTACTAACTCGTTTTTAGACTAGATTTTAGTTTTTAAGTTTATTTGAAATTATGTGAAATTTTTAAACCTGCTTATTCCCGTGTAAACCAGAATGAATTAATGCATAATTTAAACTTAGCTGGTGTAAAATTAAAGATATAAATTATAAATTTTATTTGATTTATTAATTTCTTATAAAGCCCTCTATGGGTTACATTAAATATCAATTTAATTTAGATAAATCAAAATCCTTGATTTGTAGTAAACTTTATGTCAATTTTATGAATGAATGTTTTATAATTTGTGTTAATGAATATTTAAATAAAAACAAGTATTGTAATAAAATTGTAAATGATGGAAATTTTGTGCATAATATTTGCTGATTTTTAAAAATCTAGATTTTACTAGATCAAAATTAATATAAACATCCGTTCATTTTGACAGACATAATATTAAAACTTTAAATATCATGTTATCTTAATTTTAATTATATATTTCTATTTTAATTAATGCTTTCATTGTTAGGAAATGTTATAAATATGCCCTGCTGTGTTTATGCTAAATGTATTTAAATACTATTTATACACTTTTAAACTTATACAAATTTGTGCAATTTATAAAAGTACAAAATAGTTTAATACAGTGAAATAAACTTCACAAGAATTTATAGCATTTTAATGAATTAAAACAAAATAACATATTTACAAAACCGTTGCCAATTATATTTGAATCTTATAAATTTTATTTGCATTAATTATAAAGTCAGTCAGAAAGTATTGCATAGGTTGTTTGTTTAATATCTCGCTTATTGGTTATAACAAAAATCTATGCTCTGGCACACTTAAAGTTTATTATCTGGTAGTAATGAAAAAACAAGAATATTCTGTATGTCCTCAAGAATATTCTGTTATATTGGATGATTTGCTGGACCCATAGTCAGCGCAAAGATTACTAATGTTAAAAATTATATGGAGTAATGGTATGGTAGAGGGAATACTATATTTCAATAATATCAAAAAATAATTAAAAATATATCGCACGCTTTCTTACAGTTTAACTTTAAAAATTGTTAATTCCGCCATAGATACCCATGTGTTTGGAAAATAAAATGAGATATTTGAAAATGTTTTATGCCTATCATATGTGTAATTTAATCCTAATATGATTAGCACAAAAAATTATTTTTTTATATTAAGATTTACAGGTTTTATAAATTATTTTATAAATTCATAAAAAAAGCCTGACCAACTTTTTTTTCAAAAAATCGGGTTTATAAAATTCATCAAAATTTACATATTATATCCAAAATAACAATATTTTCAATATTAAGGTTGAGTAT